TAGGGTTTAGGGTTTACAGGGTTCCGAAGTCACAGAAAATCCAGCCATAGGCTCCAAAGTGGTTCCTTTTTGTGGTTTATATGTAGAATCCTATAAGGTAACCCTGCAAAGATCCGACGTCAGAGTAAATCCGTTTAGGGGTTCAGGGGTTTAGGGGTTTGGGGGTTTGGGGGTTTAGGGGTTTCGGGGCAGATGCAAACATCCGAAGTCACAGTAAATCCAGCCATAGGCTCCAAAGTGGTTCCTTTTTGTCTTTTATATGTAGAATCCTATAAGGTAACCCAAAAAGGAACTACTGGGTTCCCCAGTAGTACCCTTTTGCCCTTTTTATTTGGGGGTCTCCTTATAAAAAGCCAAATAGTAGGAAAAGGGTAACCTAGCTAACGAAGCTGCTACAAGGCCTCTATGGGCTATAGTGTATCAACGTCCTAGGCTTCCTTGGTTATTTGGGATTTTCTGGTACCTGTGTTGAGGGCATAGGTATTGCGGTCTCAAGGAGAGTGTGGTGGTATTCAAAAACGGTCTTGGAAGGCACTTGCAGAACAGCCCCGACAAACACGTGAAGATGGGCTGTATCCGGGGATGTTGGTGACTGTAAGAACGGCACTCATGTTGAATGTATTTCACGGGTGCACATCCTTTTGCATTGTCAGAGGGGTACTCGGCTACTCGTAACCGGCACCGTATTTTGCACGGTTCGAGCTCCCACAAGACATTATGAAGCACAGGGTTATAGAAACCCTAAACTCTGTAAACCCCTAAAGCCCTAAACCCCTTAACCCTATAACCCTATAAACCCCTAAACCCCTAAACACTAAACCCCTAAGCCCCTAAACCCCTAAACCCTAAAAGGAGCCGAAACCCTACTTGGACAACTCCACATGGCATCCTTCCTCGGTAGTATTGGGGAGGCCCCTTAAAGGGGACCCTTCTGAACCCTACTCGTCGCCCTCTCAAAGGGGACCTTATTGAGAGGGTCTGTCTCCCCAAAGGGTCCCCCTAATCCTAAACCCTAACCCCTAAACCCTATACCCTCAAATCCTAACCCCTAAAACCCAAAACCCCTAAACCCCTAAACCCCAAAACCCAAAACCCCTAAACCCTAAACCCTAATCCCAACTCCCAATCGTTGCAGTTCTGCCGGGCCATCGCTGCAGTGTGGGGCCCGTTCTGGCAGCGTCGCTGCTTCTCACCTCCGTGGCTTGGCTGTCGGGTCCTTTAAAGGGGTCTATAAGGGTTCCTTCAAAGGGTGCTATAAGGTTTCCCCTAAAGGGATCTATTAGGGTTTTAGGGGTTTAGGGTTTGGGCTTTAGGGTTTAGGGCTTAGGGGTTTAGGGGTTTAGGGGTTTAGGGTTTTTAGGAGTTTAGGGCTTTAGGGGTTTAGGGGTTTAGGGGTTTAGGTGTTTAGGGTTTAGGGTTCAGGGGTTGAGAGGTTTAGGGTTTTAGGGTTTAGGGTTCAGGGGTTGAGGGTTTTAGGGTTTAGGGGTTTAGGGTTGAGGGGTTTAGGGTTTAGGGGTATAGGGTTTAGAGGTTTAGGGTTTAGGGTTCGGGGGCACCACGAGTTCGATTCGGGATTTAGAGTGTTGCTGTCAGTATATGTCTCAAGGGTTTATGTGGAGACCTTGATACTTGGTCTGGGGTATTCTGACTGCAACTACGAGATTTTTCTTTCAGGAATTGAAGTGAACATTCCGGCTAACTACCAAGCCTATACTGCAAATGGCTTTGACACCTGATGGCCTAGCATTCGGGCATGCACTTGTCCTGATATGGTGGATCTCATTACGTGTTCATCTCGGGCCTTTCGAAAACTCCCTAATCTCTTGATTGAGATAGAGTTGATGACATAAATCCTGCATCACCTTAAGGACCCTAGACTATGGGAATTATGGTCGAATTCCCTATTATGGGTAATGCTAAGGGTTTCTATCATCAACCATTAGCCTACCCATAGGCTCCTTAGTGGTTCCTTTTTTGGGATTACCTTGTAGGATGAACCCATAAAAAACGAACTACCTAGGAGCCTCTGGGTACTCACGAAACGTTGCTTGAGCCTCTAAGTGCGAGAGGCCGGGCTGATGTGGAGACATCTCTCCAGCTCCCAGCAGGCTCCCCGGCGAGCTGTTGGAAAAAAGGGCGGTTTAGGGTTTAGGGTTTAGGGCACAAAGGGCACCAGAGGAGGAAAGGTTTAGGGTTTAGAGTTTGGCTTGTCGATAGAACACATGATCAAGCAAAAGATGTGACGACTCAAGGTCCAGGTATGTATGGAGCTGCAGAGTACAAGTATGTGTCTTGTCAACCAGAAAGGAGGCTACAATTGGGTGTGGAAGTTCCAGTCATGAAAACAACAGCGGTATACCTTCCCGCCGAGCGGACACGCCATGCGTTTTCAGACGGTTAGCCCCCGACAGGGAAAAGTCATCAGTGAACTTCGGGGTTCGGGTTTGGGCCTAGGTTTCTTTTTTAGAGTCAGGCGTTCTGAGCTTAGGGTTCGTGGATCCCTACAGCAACTCAGCAAGGAACCTGAGTACGGAAACCCGGTTTACCGTACTTTGTAGGAGGGCTTCCTGAAAGCCAGAATTGGCCATATGTTCTTAGGTTCCCCCTGCTGTGTAGGGAGTAGCCTCGTTTTTGTTGCATGTCCCCAGAAGTGCCAGCCACACCAAGAGACAGAGCAGCAGGGGTTCCTAAGTCCTAAACCCGTAACCCTAAACCCCTAAACCTAAAACCCTAAACCTAAAACCCTAAACCCCTAAACCCCTAAACCCTAAACCCTAACCCCAAAGCCCGAAAACCCTACACTCTAGGCCCAAGAAGAGGCTCTGTGTTGTTTAGTATCCTACTTATAGTCTCTTCTGGGGGGCTCCTTAAAGGGATCTATAGGTGGGGCTTAGGAGGGTTTAGGGTTTAGGGTTTTCTGATAGTCTCCAGTGTAGCTCCTTTTTGTGGTCAACCAAGTCTATATTATGGGACCCTAACCATAAAGCTGGCCAACCCTAAACAACCCTAAACCCTAAACCCGAAACCCAAACATTGAGAGTCCAGATACGAGACATGAGCGCTGATCTGAAAACAGACTCTTAGAGATTTAGGCTTTAGGGCTTTAGGCTTTAGGATAAAGCGGCTTAGGGGTTTAGGGTTAGGGGGTTGGGGTTTTGGGTAGGGTGAAGGGGCTCAGGGTTTAGGGTTACGTCTAGAGACACGAATCTAGGACATTTTCAGGTGGG